TTTTGGAAGGAACTAAGCAATTTGAGTAAAAAGTTTTTATCGAATAATAAATTCCCTTAAAAAATGGACAAAATTTTGTCACAAAACAACATGCTAAATAGCGATAGAATCTCCCTTCCCCATTTAGAAATAAAAAAGGTGTCCTCACAGTGTACATTCAACCGTTATTATCGCATGTATTTATTAGCCATTAGAGGCATATCGGGGTCTAGATACAAATTGAGGTGTTTATATATTTTATCCAATTTTATCATGGGTATTATTCTATCTTAAGTTTAACTATTATCAACCAAAGAGTTTATACATGTTCTATGGTAAATTACTAACATTAAGAGATAGATACTAGTAATTGGGTACCAATATTTTGTAAGTAAGTGTTCTTAAGCCGAGCGAACGCTTCTGGTGGAAAAGGAAGACGTTATTGGAGGGTTGTATAAAAATTGCCCGTTATAATTAATATAAATCAATGCCTAATGCTAATGTAGCGTGATCGATAGATGTTATCAGTATCCGCTGCTATGTAAGAGGAAGTTATAAATCGTTTGAAATCTAAAATTGATCAGAGAATTCTATCCACATTAAATCGGCGGGCACACCTCTGTCATCTGCAGACATTTTATGCGCTATCGAGTTTTCCAGGGAAACTTTTTTAAAGCTTTTACGGAGATAAGGTGAGAAATGTGTTAAGGGATGATTAAAAGGCCAGAGCGACGCTGGCAGTGTAGATAACGCGAGTATAGTTTATTCTGTCGCACATATCTCGATAACGCTCAATCATTAGTCTGTCTCACTCTGGAAGTCACTAATCACCTGGTTCCATGCCCCAACATCCCTCCTTATAATAACCGAGAGCTACCGCTTCAATAATGATAACGTTTTTTGTTGGATTAATCCTCACAGAAAATGCATTCATAGTCCATATCTCATATCTCAGTTAATGGGAATCGTTTTTCATTTTGTTGGTTTTACAGAAGAAACCTCTTATGTTAAAACCATTTAATACACTTAATTAGCATCAGACAACCCATCAGCTACGACGTTATATTTATAGAAATATGAGCCGTTATCTACTGACGGACACAAGAAAAATTTGAGAACGGATTGAGTTATTAATCCAAAACTTTCAATCACTTAAAGAACAACCTATAAATATGCTGAGATATCCTCTGGCTGTAGGCGGTTATTCGGTAGCACATTAGCAATGCAGGTTTCTTTTGCTCTGTTATTAACACGTGCTCGTCTTCCAGCTTTGATCAATTACCTGTCTTGTCTAAACACTAAAATTAGTTGACTAAAGTGAAATTGATCAATACAATTATACTTCTGCGCCATTAATGGCACCTTTTTTTATACACGCAAGTGCAAAGTGTCAGTTCTTATACTGAATCATTCACAAAAATGCCATAGAATTCAGAATGTATAAAAAGTCGGTAATTTGAAATTGCATCATCCATTCTAAATACAACGCACATCTTTTTTTGGTTTTTCACATACCCTTCAAAAACTCGTTCCAATTTGTGCTGGTAACATGGCCCCTATATATTTAATTGCCTCAATCTTTTGCTTCAAAGATCATGCTTTTGCTAATTTGATTTTGCCTTATTACACCGGAAGGAAATCCTACTGGCCACTTTGTGGGGTACAAAAATGAAATTCCCCTAATAGAATCTTCAACAAATTGTCGAAGAAAGAACACTTGGCTCATACAGGGTGTTTCCTGACTAATTCAGTCGAATATTCTGGGATTTATTATTTTTTTTAATCTATGCGACATATTTGTATTAGATTTTCTGAAGTGACCATCAACTCAAACCGAACGGGTTTTGCATTATTTGCGTTTTTGAAAAATTTTTGAAAATGAGTGCATTTCTTAGTTTTGAAAAAGGTTGGTTTTTAGTTGAAACGAAAATTTACGCATTTGAATTATTAGGTTGGCTTTAACTACCAATTATCAAAAACAAGTGTATTAAAAAAAAAATTAAAAAAAATCTAAATCTCACACTTCGTAGGTAATGAGGATTATTTGCATTTTAAGAATTCAAAACTATGCTGTTTAGTCCGTAGTAATCAATTATATAAGTATATGCTATGGCTGAAAATATTTTCAACCACCGGTTTAGTAAGCGTAAGTATTGAAACTTATACCATTTCGCTGCACATTGAGACTCTCTTTCCAAGCATGTTCAAGTTGGCATTTTACGTGGCAGAAGTGACAGTTAAAACAGATTTTGCAGGGTTCATAAAAAACGTGCCCAAAATTTCAACCAAAAAAATGGAATAAGTATAAATTGTACAATAACCTGAATTTTAAAAATCAAATTATAGCTTCACGTTCGCCTGACTTGTCCATGCGTTTGGTCACAAGCGTGCGAGCTTCGACCCGTTTAAATGTCGGCCACATGAGGCACACACAAATCATTACTCGCCGCTTTGCTTTTAACTTCATCTTCCAATGAAGCGACTTGTAAGCAGTCACTTGTTCATGCGCCCCATCAGGCGTGTCTCCAAGTGACGGATAAGGAGACGGCCTAAGCGAACCGCGTCAGTGACACGATATGTTAATGGCCTCGGAGATAAGGATGCTCGTCGCTGTATGAAAACAGCAACTCCGTAACAACCCAAGCCAGCATCGCGACCATGCTACCCCACCCGGCTGTCGTATCATGGCAAGGCTTGCCACGGGGGTTGTAGACCGGTGCCGATATGGGTTTGATGTACCGACAATCATTCGAGGATATTAGGCAACGAACCTGGTCCAGCTCAGGATTGTGCCGAAGGTCTCGGCTTTACCGCCCCGGACCAAGAGATCTCCTCACCTCAGCAAATGACCTATTCTAAGGGTTCAGAGGATCGAACACGGGGATGCGTGGTGAAGGATCAGAAGCTCCAGGCCTCAACCTCGGAGCATCGGTGCCAGTCCGTGTCGCCTTCGGACGCAGGGGCACCCGGCGTGCCTGTGACATTTATTTCCCCCCATACTCGTGGACTCATATGGACAGGAAAAATAAACCAAAAAACCCAAAAAAAAACTATCCCGGAGCACCTGGACTGCGGGATCGTTAAGAAACTCTCCGGGCAAGGCGCCGTAAACTAACAAATATAAGTGGGAACCAGGGGACTCTAAGCAACCTGGTCCTCCCATCTACTGAAATGAAGCAACCAGGTTACGCACCTACGAGACTATACGGAAGACTGGGACGCAAAAGCGACACCGTCTGATGGCAGCATCCCAAGGAAGTAGCTCGAAAGGCAAAAAATAGTGGCGTAAAGAATAACAGAACTACAGCTTCAGAATGGAGAAAATAGCGTTCAATTATGGGAATTTTGTTGCAGAGACCTGGGGCTGGGGCATTAATTCTGACAGTGGAAAGGAGTGGAGCGAACGGGGGCTTGTCTTGGATCCCTACTCCTTACGATCAATCTACCACCACCAACCACAGAAGTTAGCGAACTGGTGGAACACTGTCAGCGAAAAGGATGTCAACTCCTTGGATGGTTGATGCCTAATGTGCACCGACAGTGTATGGGTGGCAGCACCTACATTCCAAATAATAATTTAGAGATAGCTAATAATCCCGGCTTCAATTTTTATTTCTGATCATACAAAGTACATTAAGAATAAAAAGACTCGTGTGTCCTCAAATTTTCTTTGCGAGTAAAATAAACCCAAAATAAATTATTGAAAAGCTGTGTTTTTAGTCCGAATTTCAAATGCTTCAGTCTAAATACGTCACAAACCTACAACCAATCACGTAGAAGTGAGCCGGCAACCTTGTGCGAGGGTCTGACGTTTGTCGGATTTGACGCGAAAGTGAACGACAAGTGACAGGTGCCTGTGACAGGTGACGCAAGTTACAAATGACATTCTCCTGCAATACTGCCAAGTCGTTATGTCATCTGAATGGTTCGAGGAGCTGATTGGTCGGGCTTATTACGTCACAGAGCCCGCCACAATCATATCGTTTTGAGTAAACCCTTAAAACCGCACACGTCCATTATTTTTTTGCTAATCAGCCTCTATTTTTAAATAAACTTTTACTGTCCAAAAAAATGTTTTATGGTTTCAGGTACACGCTTATTAAATTAGAACTACGCTTCTTCAACTATACTGTACACCCCCATTGCATAATGTTTGGAACTGTGACTGCCTGCAGCTCCGTACACAAATGGCATGTTCGTTTTATTTATTTATTTATTATCCCTCTCTTGTTCTGGGCCCTCAACAGGCTTGCGCCCAATTATTTTTTTTTTTGACATGTTATCAAGCGAAGAGGCTGTAGCCGTATATAGAAATCCGAGAAGAACCAACTGGGACCTCTATAGAGAGAACCTAAAGGTCAATCTTGAGAACATTCCCGCAGGAGACAATAACTCGGCGAAACTGGAGGTCAGAATGAAACAATCATCAAACTTTTTCCTCCTCCTATGGTGTTCAACACCATTTTTTTTCTCCCCTATTCTCGATAACACATCTTCATTCCTAACTATCCGGACCATAATTTTCAAACCCCTTCCCCATAACCACATTTTCAGACTTTTCTGTTCTTTTCTTCTCCCTCTCACATAATGTCCACGTTTCACAGCCGTATAAAAAGGCACTTCACACTTCACTACCTTTCTTCAACTCCAGCTCCATTTTACTAGCTAGCAGTATCTTTTTCTGTCTAAAAGCCTCGTTAGCCGTTCCTATTCTTGCTTTTATTTCTGCCATGCGTTTCCATTCTACCGTTATTGCGATCATCTGCTCTAAACTCTCGCCCCTTACTTGCACATTTAACCTCTCCATTTACTTAAATTCGAAATTTATATTTAGTATTCTGACGTCATGTAGGTACTCCTTTGTAAACCCGTTTAGTTAAGATGTAAGTTAATCCTATTGTAGATTTGTGCAGCTCTTTTCCGTTGTGCTTTTAATTTTATCCCTTCTTCTTCTTTAACTTGGCCTTGCGTACAACCCGTCCTTTTCCGCCCAGAAAATATCTTGCCTTCACAGTAGTTAGTTGCAATTTTTCTCGATACGCCATTACTGTTACTTGACTTATCTACCTTACTTAAAGGACTGTTTTGGATATCATCAATTTTCTTTGAAGTGTTTCCCTCTATTTCTGATGTGTTGTGCCTGCTCCATTGAATACGTTTAGCGGATTTATGTTTGCAAGTAATTAGTGTGATGTATGTAAAGATTATGACTAAACATTTTTGTAGGGTTTTATCTTCCTTCATATTTCCTCGGACTTCTCTCGCAGTTTTCTCTTAAGTTCTCATCGTTTTTCTTCTGGATTAATCTTCCGTTATTATTTACCTGGATTAGGGTTGCCATATGTCCCGAAAATGCGGGACGCTTTTTGAACAGAATTATGCGTTCCGCAGGAATTATAATAGATCAAGTCCCGATTTGTTGCAGGGATTTTTATGTCTACATCAAATCCAAAGATACACTTGAAAAGTTCGCGAGCCTTTATATCTAAACGTAGATTATCCCTTTACTTTTTCTCCCGGGTACATTCCTACTTTTCGTACTTCCGAGACTAAAGTGACAACTTCACTCCATTATGACAAGTACTAAAGTGTCACTTTTTGTCCCGCCGGGATTAAATTTGGACGAAAATCCCGGAAAGATGAAATTACTAACAAGGCAATTTCAGTAGGTTGTTCCACATTTTGTATACTGCACTACTTCTTAAACGCATCGTACTGCTGCTCATATAGTTTTTTGGATTTCAGTGGTATCAATTCTTTACCTAATTTGGCTGCTTTTTATCAATATCAAATACACCTTTGTCACCCACCACCAAAATCATGACACTAACAATGACAGTTTCCAAATTATTTTTGTTACCATAGCGTAGGGTTTGTCGTACCAACGCAACGTTCCTATGGTAACTTGTAGTTAAGCAGCGATTTTTTGAAAGAACGCGTTCTCTAACTCCATACATATTAAGTGTTTCAGTTTCGGAAGTACGAAAAATATCGTATATACCTTGCGACTGAAGTAGTGGTCTTAATCCCTCAGGTAAATTATGGCCCTCCCTTCGGTCGGGCCATAAACTTCGGGATTAAAAGTACTACTTCAGTCCCGCGGTATATAATATACTATTTCC